TCATCATGCACTACTAAAATCCAAAAGTAGAGCGAATTCGAAAATTTGAGCCTTTCCACATATTTCTGATTTTGTTTGATTTTTACAGACAGTCGTATCCTGAATTAGTTCGAAATTCGATGAGCAACTAAAGCTAAAGCTAAACTAAAGCTATTTACGGTGATCGAGTTTGAGTTGAAGCTACGTAAAACTAAAAACGTTATAAGCTTTGCGAAAAAATTTTTTTAAGATCTATCGATCTATATTGTCTTTTTGTTCACGGGGCAGCTTGTGACGCAAGTCGATTCAGTGGAATTCAATTTTGGAACTCAACAGAGAAGATTGCGCCCCTTCGAAGGGTGAGCTTCGAGGTAGCAGGAGCCAATCACAACCGGTAAATTCCACCAATCAGCACCGGTAAAATACAATGCTCTCAACGGGCCAATCACCACCGGTAAGATCAAAAGGTCCGACCAATCAGCACCGGTAAAATAACAATAAAGCGTTGTCACGGAATCCAAGCAACTCTTGTCCTTGAGTGATACTGTATTTATTTCAAAGTTTTCGGCTTGATCGAAGAAAAACTAAACTTGTTTGCTCTTAAAAAAGCGTAAATTGAGTGATATCGTCTCAGCTTTTATCATTTTAGAGTAGACCAATCAACCAAAACGACATCTGGAGCTACTAAGGAGAATTTTTATGTCGAAGGAACGGTATTCGAAGGTTCGACTTCATTCTTTATGAGTTTTATATTTCTTGCTTGCTGTATTGTGCTTTTTTCTCTTTGTTTGTGATCTTTCAGGTAAAATGGCCCGAATGCCAAAGATTTCAACGATTCTTAGACGGGACTTTGATACAGAAAAGGCTCGAGAGGTGAGTACCAAGAGCAAGAAAGTCAAGAAACCAACAGATAAATGGGATAAATGTCAGCCTCCATTTGTCAGCCTTTCTTCGTTACTTCGTTAGAAAAAAATTCTATCCGTATTAGCGTTCAAATACAAAGCCATTAAGCAGTATTAAAAGCGTATAGTTCATTATTCTGCATGAAGAGAATAGTTCAGTGGTAAAATATTTTCATATGATTTGATTGATGCATGTTATTGTAGATTTCAAGGTTTATAGAATATTGTCTTAATCAAGGGTTTTAAAGTTATTGCAAATTTGTTTTCTCATATTAATCAGTCCTTAAATTTACAAATGATGACAAATATTAAAACTCAAATGTCTCCTATGAGATCACATCATTTACATATTATTGAAAGAATAAACCATGATATCTACAAGATGCTTCACTCAAATCCTCACTATGATTTCTGTTTCTCAAATTTTTAGTCTGACTCAAGATTAAGTTATATAAGATTAATTCTCAAAAAAATTAATCTACAAATTGAATAAGTCAGATCAGGATTATTGATGACGTTACTATATCTTCAATTTTTTTTAATCAGCGACACCCCCCTTGCCAATTACTGGATCCATCCACCCCTGATACATGCAAATAGAATGTTTCACTATTGTTCCCCAAGTTTGACTTGTACCAGGAAGCCTATTGTCCCTATGCAAAAATCATTTGTATAATTTTCATAAATCAAATGAGGAATTATTTTGCTACCAACTGAAAAATCAGTAGTGAATAAGGTAAATGTGCAGTGTAGTTTTAAAGCCAGAAGGTAAATATCTGTAGTCTGAGTTATATAAGCAATTTAAATGTGCCAAAAACATGAAAGCAAGGCAACCAAGGGCTTAGTTTGCCTTCCCATACAAATCCTTCTAATTTTGAAATGATGTTATTTTTCAGGTATTTCTGCTAGAACACTGAAATTTTGCTCATCTACTAATGTGAGCTATGATGACTTCAGCACTGCAATAAAATTTCTATTAGAAATGTCTATGGCTTTTTGCATAGGGTCTAGTTATGCTGTTTTTCTACTTTAATTTTTGAATGTGAATTGAATTGAATTTATGTAAATCACAAACAGCCAAACTATATATCTATCAGTACAGAGTGTTTTCACTCACGTGAGAAGGCAGCCATGAACAATAGAAACTTTCTGCACAGTATTTGAATAAAAATAGAGTTCAATTCCCGGAGGATAGAAAATGTATGTGGACCCCACGTGAAAACGCTCTATACATGTACAGTGTGTCTTTATTTGGAGCCAATTCAACTTCTCTTTATTTCCTAGAATTATAGAATCAATAATATAACAATGAATTTTGATTGTAGCTGAGCAACACAATGAGGCTTTTTATTAAAAAAACCTAACCACTTCTCTGATAATGTATTTTTATATGCCTGCCGCCTGTCATCTAAAAATAAAAAAATACCTCATCCTTCAGTGATTTCTTCATTGATTTCTTTCCCACCCTGTTTCCTAGATAATGACCAGTTTCTAATAATCTTTCCATTTATGAGGGTCTGACAGCTGAGTTGACGGCCTTCCCCAAAAGGGATTATGGGTCAACTATTTTTGGTAGTACAGTGTAAATTTCTGAGTTTCAGAGTTTCACTTATAACATTTATGATAAAATAAAAGAATAAAAAAAATCATATTTCATGGATTCTTTTGGTAGAATCATTGGAAATGCTAATCAAAATATGATTGAAAACCCAGCTGGGAGGGGGAGGGGTAATGGATTTGCTGGCTAGCCCATACAAAAAATCTGACCCTCTATGTTGTTGCATAAAAATGTCATTCTCTTGTATTCCATTCTTTTTATTGTAAAAGTTCTATGCTACTTGGATATAATCTCCCCTCTCCAGCCTGAATTTTAATGACCTTGCCCCTTCAAATCACACGACCAGTCTTCTTACAGACAGGATGTGGACAGAGAAATTTATTAACAGTAACAATCCACAGGCAAAGTCAGGATCTGTCACCTGTCAAGAGGGGAACACTTCTTATAAGTTGTGGCTGAGGGCGATCACACCACAGTTTGTTGATCCTTGCAGCACAATAAAAAATACATGAAATGTAATTTTTTAAATCTGGATTAGCATTTATTACATTGACTCTGAGGTTAACATAAAAAAGAAATGGCCATCCACTTCGGATTCTTCGAAACTTGGGTAACACTGAGGGACTAAATCTCGCAAAAAGAAAAGATAAAAGACAAGCAATTACACGATATCCTGCTTCTTCCAACTGCTCTTCTACTGATTAACAAATTATAGATTCCAAGGGTTTCTATGATGATCTATGCAAGAAAGAGTTCATAAGGTTTTCAAAAATCGTGTGGTTTTTTAGAACTTTTTTATTCTAGAGCATTGTCAATTTTACCGGTTGTGATTGGTGGAATTTACTGGTTGTGATTGGTCGCTGCTACATCGAAGATTGCACCCCTTCGAAGGGTTGGGTCCAAGCGAATCTTCGAGGTAGCAGGAGCCAATCACAACCGGTAAATTTCACCAATCACCACCGGTAAAATGCAATGCCCTCAGCTCAACGGGCACCGGTAAAATCAAAAGGTCGGAACAATCAGCACCGGTAAATTCTAAAATCCCGACCAATCAGCACCGTTAAATTCTAAAATCCCGACCAATCAGCACCGGTAAAATCTAAAGGCCTGACCAATCAGCACCGGTAAAATAACAATAAACCGTTGCCACGGAATCCAAGCAACTCTTGTCCTTGAGTGATTCAAAAAATCAGGAAGGGATTCATAGAGATTTTGGCGAAAAAAGCTTAAAAAACACTCGAATTTTGAACACCGAATGAAATATTTCTTTCACATTTCATTCTAGAAACCTTTGGAATCTAGAATTCGAGAATCAGTACGAGAACAGTAGGAGGGAGCCAGAGATATCGAGCGATAAGTATCTTGCTTTTTTCTGTATTCTATAGCACGTGTTTTTGCTTGTCTTTGGTTTTTCTTTTTTTCTTTTTCCTAGATTATGGCCCAATTACCCAAGTTTCGAAGAACCCAGAGTGAAGAGCCATGGCTGAAGCCAACAACTGACAAGTGCCACGACGAACAGAAGAAGAGTAAGCAGTTCGAGAACTGCAAATGTAAACCTTTGGAAGTTGTGAGTCATACCGCACTTTTAAATTTCCTCGTTTGAAATGATAGATATATTTATTTCAAAGTTTTAAATGATCAATTTTAATTTAAATGATCAAGCAGTGCATGTTGAATTGAGCATTGTAATTTTAAGATTACTCGAGTGCTTCATGAATAGAGCTGTCTTGTTTTCTATTGTTTATCGTACTTACACGCTCACTGAAGCCTAAAATTATTCTCAGCAACAAAGAAAATTTATAGTTCAGCGACCTTTATTTTGTCAGGATAATAGCTTAATAGAGTGCAAATTATAGAGTACAAACGATTAATCCGTGAAACACTTATTACTAAATAGTACAAAATAAAGCTAAATTAAACAATAGAAAACAATGGAATTTGCATGAAATTGTGCTATTTAGTATTACTAAAGTTTCACGGTTATAGGCGAGCCGTGACGGCTAAACTAGAGTGCACGCACTAAAACCCGTGAAACAAATACTAACTTTTAGTACTAAATGGTGATAAATAAACAATAGAAAACAATGGATTCTGTATGAAATAGTACTAATTAGTACTAATCAATGTTCACGGATTTAGTGCGTGCACTCTAGTGCATGTGTGCTACTCAAGGGCGCAAATTTTTAAATATTTTTAAACACACTTACAAAAACTGAAACAATATTTTATTGTACATGCTTTTCCTTCATATAATTTCTCATGTTTGCATTTTCGTATCTATTCATTTGCGTATTGAGTTGTTACTCTAGTAAACGCCCGCGCGTGCCCTTGTCATGCATCACTGAATTCCTATGTTTTGTCTAATCAAGTGCTAACTATAATAATAATACAGGGTTCATGCTACTCCTTGAAACCCTTGAAAACTCCTTGAATTGAAAACATGTTTTTAAGGGCGCTTGAAAAGCCCTTGAAAATAGAGAAAACGCCAAAACTCTTGGGATACTCTTCAAATTTAATGCAAACTTAATGCTATTTCTAATTTTCCTTTTAAAATATATAACAATTGAAATTGATTGAAGAATTTGAGTATAGTTTGTAAATAGCCTAGCTGAATATCTTGGTACTCTCTGGTAAAAATGCATATATTTAAAAATCTATTTATCTCAGCGTAGTGGCCCCGGCTGAATTAGCTGCACTGTAACATTGAATCAATGTTTAAACCACGTTCTAATACAAAAAACTTTGTCCTTGAAAATCGAATTTTTGTGCTTGAAAAGTGCTCAAAAAGTCCTTAAATTTTGTAACGAAAATGTAGCACGAACCCTGATAATAATAATAATAATGATAATAATAATAATAATAATAGTAATAATAATATTTTACAACCACCACTCCCAATACGGGGCTCTTCCGTGAGGTTCCCTCCACATGCACTACCACTACGTTCTATATTTACAACATACAACACTCAACTCACATGTTGATTTTTACGGAGGGAGGAAACTTGAGAAAACCCTCGTAGCATAGGAGAGAACAACACATCAAACAAACTCAATAGTCCCCTTCACAGTTGAAAGGTAGTCGTGCCTTTGCATCAAAGCGAGACAAACAGCTTGTAATGATAGAGACCTCTTTTTAACACCTTGTACCATTATTCACATGTCTCTATCAGCTATCATCTCTATCATATATCTTGCTATATTAGAACTAAGGGAGGAAAGCAGTAAGATTTATGAGTTTTTCTTGTATTGTTCAAATTTCTTGTTCAGAGCGACAGTAGCAAAAGTATAATGGTGTCAAATGCATCGAGTTGCACACGGGATGTCGACGCTTCTGCTCATCTTGATCATGGTCAAGCAGGTAACTGATTGGTTGCAATATTTGTGTTCTATCTTTGGGTCTATCTCCAGATTGATATAATTTATACAGCACAGGTGACATCACAATACCAAAAAAAAAAAAACGATACCAGCTTTCCAATCTATAGAACAAGTCACAGTAGTCACGAGTAACAAGCATTTGACACACTGGAGATAACCTATTCTTTGTTTCTAAAAATACTTAAAATATCTAAGCTATTCTTTTATAGTTTATTTCAATTCATGTATACACCTACTTGCAAGAATGTCGTCATACGAAAATAGAACATTATTGATTTAGTGGGATAGGAATTTTATTAAAAAACAAAAGAAGATCACTGAAACTGAACTTTTTCTTTTGTCTTTTAATGTATTCCTTTCACACTAAATTACTAATGTTCTAATATCGTATGACAACTTTCTTGCATGTAGGTGTATATATCGTTCTGTTTATTGCTTTCAAATGAGGCTGTTGCTTTTTAAGCTTACAAACATTTTTTGAGGTTGCACGCTTTTAGTACTGTTTTGTACTCTAATTTGACTCCGATTTTTTTAAAATTCATTTATTTAGATTTTAACTCTACTGTATCTGATGGGCATGACAAAGAGGGCATTGACAAAGTAAGAGCACTTGCGTCTGTCTTGGTATTATTGAGGGATAAATATTATATTTCAAACTCCCAAGCACAAGAAATTATCAGGCTGTGGAACAACATGGAAGACCATGATAAGCAACGCACCAATTTTGTACGAAGGTAAGAGACCAGTCTTTTATGACCCCTTATGCACCAATCAGTGTGAGTCCTGTGGGGG